CAGAGTCAGAGAAACAGCAGCAAATGCCATCTGCAGTGAAGAGCCATAAGACAGCTTTCTGATGAACAGAAAGCCAGTTGAAAGACAGCCACTTTTCTTTCACATGTAAAGATTCTCCCTCTTCATTTTTCTCTACTGGTGGATATCAAGACTGTACAATCCTTCAAAGCACAATGATTACATCCAATAAATATCTCCAGCTGTATCGTCAAATTCTCTCTTAAAAAGGAAAAGAAAAATCCCACAAGATATGAACTACTCTTACAAATGCTTGGCTATCAACTTCTGCTTGTAACTGAATCAAGCTGTCAGCTTGACTATTGAGTAATTGCTTAGGCAAAAGAATACTGCATGGGTGAAATGCTTGGGTTTGAGCGATTTGTATATTTGGTCTGTGTTTGTATGCACACATTTAATTACTTTTATTGGTACATATATACACATACAGGTACATTTTCTGCAATTCAAATGTAAAAACAGAGCAGGGGAAATTTAAAAGGAATTACCAACAGTTGCCATAATGAGAAAATTTAATGGAAACATGACTTCTGACCAAAGTAATAGGAATATTTTTCATTTTTAGCTAGTTATAATTCAGAAAAGATTAACTGAGAAGAAACTATGTAGGTAATTATTTTAAAAGGAGGGTAACTGGACAACTTATCTGCATATTCTGACCTGTTCTATAATATTACTGCAAGCATGACCTGCTGAATCACTGCTACAAAATCACTCATTCCAGCTTACTTAGTGGGTGTGCTGCACTGTGGATCAGAACAGTGTACATGTATCACAGTACACATATGAGTACATACATCATGAAGCATAAAGAACATTTTGTTCCATCAGTAAGCATGCAACACATGGCTTGAAAGTGCCAATGAATGCAGGGACAGGGATGTAAGGAGGCAGTTCTAAAATGTTTCTCTATAGAAGCAAAGGTTGCTGTTAAAAATTTTTCTCCGCTTCTAACTTTTATATCCTGGAGTATATTTCCACATCATCTTAATTTTTTAAAAATAGCTGACCTTAAAAGGTAAACCGTTAAGACAAACAGTGTTTATCATAAATGTAGACTGGATCTTTTTTAATTTATTTAACATTTCCTTTGATTAAATGTATATTCTATGCCAAAACTCACTGACTTTATTGGGTAAGTCAACTTTGCTGACTAGGTAGACTCAAGTATACCAAGACTTGACTAGACTACATAGCAGTTCCAGCTAATCAAAAAAAGTTACATAAATGTGTTAAACCTGGTTCAAGGCAGCAAGTTATTTGTGTGGCCTGCCTGGTAAGCTCCATCTCTGCTATGAGGTGATACCAGACACATCAATGTTTACTGGCAAACAAAGCAGTTCCCTTAAAACAGTCATACACTTGTGTTCTAAAATTACTCAGTTTTGTTCCCTGTGGTCTCACTACTACTGGTTCTTTCTTTCTACTCCCCTCTGTTTTTTGCCCCTTTAGCACATCACTAGGACCTGCCCAAGAGTTTAGGAATTTGCCAGCTTCATCAGAAGCAGGGACTAGGAAAAAAAAATGCTGCATTCAGTACAACTATACAGTTTGGATGAGTATTTTAGTGATTTCTGCTGCAGTTTAAATACATTTGGTAAGTCATAGCCAGCTGCCGTATCTCCAAAACTGTTCTAAAAGCCCTCCCCAACCATGTGAACTTCACTTCCTGAGCTTCCTTTCTCCTTTAGGTATCTAATTTTGAAGCAGTGAATAATTCCTTTTTTTCTTCTTACTAACATTACTACTGACTACTATATCAAATTATATAAAATTTTCAGTAGAGCTGTGGATTTTACTTTTTTATTTAAAATTGATTTATTAAATAAAAGAGCATACAGGTTCACTTACATTTAGCTCTAAAACTATTCCAAGGCAATCATACACTAATGACACACCAGTCGCCACAGCAATAATAACCACTGTCACAACAATATGGAAAACTGTTGAGAGGTTCCCATGGAAAAACACATTCGCAATCACCTGAAACAGAACCACAATTTTAAACCTTGATTTTAGTCTTTATGTTATCAAACAGTTTATTCCAAACCTTCGAACCTCAGGAAACCAAACGAATGGGTAAGAATACACTGACTGAATTTTACTTCTCTTGCTTCAAGAAAACATCTTCATCTGCTTCCAAATGTAACTCATGACAAGGATTAATAAAATTGCAGAACTCTTGCAAGACTGACCTGGTTATCCCTGCAGGATTTAGAGTATACTTACTTCCTTCTCATTTGTCCAGTACAGAATAAAATCCACTTAAAATTATTTATTGAACAGATGGATTTCCTAGATAGAGATACTTCTAAAAAGAAAAGCTATTAAGCATGAGGAATATGCTATTTTGGGCTATTCTCAGCATAGCAGCAACAGTGGCATTTATGCCAAACTGGGAATTTTAAGCAGTCCTGATATTATTGAGTAATTATTAATATAATGTTGGATAGCATTATAATAAATATAATACAATGTTGTACAGCTAGTCGCCCATACTCATTCCCTGTAGCAGGATGCTGACATTTGTTATAGATCAACCACAGACTTCAGCTACACTACGTACCAATAATGTGAGAATATCAGCAATATACAACAACATTGTTAAAGGGAAAATTTAATAAGTTCTTACCTCTCTGGTCACAAAACATTCAAGGGGGAAGGTCAGAATTACAGTAACTCCATAACAAAACCTTCCAAATGTAGCAAGGTTGTCATCTCTACAGTAGTTTTCAAATATATCTCCTGAGGCATAGCAAAACATCAATTAGTTTGAACTTCATGTCATTTGCCTATTTGCAAACTGAAGTGCAGGCTACTGGAGTTACTAGAGTAATTGAGACTTTCTGATCCCCTCACCTGGCATGTATCAAGAAACTACAGTTATAGTCGCAAGTTACATCCAGGAGAAACTTTCAGCTTATCCTGCTAGTAGCAAGTCTTTTATCTCAAGTAGCATTTATCTTTCAAAAATATTTTAAAATATATATAGTGGAGTTTGTCATCTGTTATCTTCCCCTTAACACAGATTTTATATGAGATGCTGGTGTTGGTTTGAATAAATATGTGATGGATTCAGAAAGAAAACTTGTGTGTAAAAGATACATTTCCTCTAAAACCGTAACTCCTAGAACAACACAAGGAAACCAGGGAGTTCTCTTGAGAACTACATTCCCCTGATAGTATCTAATCATAGCTGGTAACTTGTAGTGAAGAATTCCAGATTTTCTGACCCCCAAAGCCCATTATAAACATATGGATTATTACCTAGCAAACAACATAAGCATTGCTAGAGAATTCAAATCATGGTGTTGTGTAGTGTTTATCACAAAGAATCTGCAATAATGATCTCAGAGGCACAAGAGACAGTGCAAGACAGTGATCAGATGATCTATCAGGTCTCTTCTATTCAATTATAATACTATCTCATGATTTACTCCTTTTAGGACCACAATGGTGCTGAAGAAGCAATAAGGTGTAATTAGAGAAAACAGCCAAAAGATTTTGACAGGGAAGACAGAAGGCAAGATAGAACCTGCTTGCACTGGAGTTGTGTGCTGAGGGACAGCTGCAGTCAGAGCTTTCTATACTTGAAATGTCTCAGCTAGCCTGCACTTAGTCTAGCTACAGCTGCATCTAGGGCAGTAACTTACTCTGCTGGAGTAAGCACTGGAGGCAGGAAAAAAGTACAGATTAACCAGGGACCTCCATACCACAATTCCTCTGTTCTCAACTACATGCTGCTACTCATCAGAAAAGACAGAAGCTTGGAAGTCATATCCTACAATGGCACTAGTAAGCAACAGAAAATCTGCTTTTGAAATGTGTATTTTTCCTGAAGAAGGTAATGCACTGAACAAATTTATGCCTAGGATGCTGTATTAGCACAGACAGGAAAAGATGTAACAAAGTGTACAGAAATATATTAGGCACCCTGTAGAAAAAAATGGCAATTTTTGTTCTTATTGCTCTCTGCTACTGGACTATGTGGCTAAACCATAGATGTTTAGTCCTCTGAAGTGTTTTGATTATGGAAGTATTGAAAGAGGACTTTCACCAGTGAGGCTTACACTTGGGAATATGATGATTATTAGCATGTAACTGACATTCATGTATCCTGTTTTGGCTGTGGGTAATTACAAGGAATGTCCTATTTCTGTCCAAACATACTATGATCTTTGCATTTTTACAGTCACTAAGATATTTACAGCAAAATTCATACAGAAAGGCAGAAATGTAAGGACTATAGCAAGCACCAAAACTGAGGGATCAAGCAGTTTACCTTCTGTGTATCCTGTAAAAGTCATATATCCACATGCAGAGAACACTACACTGATTACAACAGCGAGTGACACAGACACATGTGTGACTCGAGACCAGTTCTTTAATGTGGGTTCTTCCAAAGACCCATATATTAAAAAGCTGTTATGGTTGCAGATGAACGCTGAAACACACATGACAGTTAAAGCAAATGTATGAATTCATGCATAAATGCATAGAGGAAAACAGCACAGTTTGAATCCACTCATTATTAAATACAAACATTAATCCTGCAATGAGCGGCAAAGATAAACAGCTTGAACTTTTACTTGCTTAGTTGATTTGATGAAGGTTTATATTCATCCTGAGATGATTCTGATTACATTATCCTCAAATGCCATGCCATTTCCCACCCTCACACCTCCATTCCATCACTATTTCCTCTTCCTGCTCTTCTTTGGCTTAAGAGCCCAACAGCACATTTGAGAATTTATTTTTTTCCAAATCCAAAAACCATTTGATACTTTCAGACTTCCTATGGCATTCATTTTAGGCAGCAGAAAGTATTGGGAGGCCTCTAGAATATCACAACACTAACAAGAAGCAATACATAAAATCCTGCAGGCAGGAACAGATTTTTGGAATAGGATTTTTTTGTTAGAGGTTATCCAAGGTAATGCAGAATAATCATAACCTCCTCAGTTTATCAGTTAGACTAGCCCATTTCATGCAGGTGCTTTAAGATGACCTGGACAGTTGAGCTGGATTCAGGAGCACACAGCTGTCTCTGCTACAGTGGCAACAGTCTCTAGGGCTAGATGGGCAATGGATGAGGATATCATCTTACCCCATAACAATGAAATTCATATGGATGACTCAAAGTCAATTTCTTCTACACCAGCTTAACATGAATATAAAAAAAAGAATCCAATACAAATATTCAATTTCTAAGTCCAAAATAGTAAATAATTTCTTACAGTTGACCTGAATATTGAAAAAAGATAAACCAAAAAAATCACTTACCAAATGACATCACCCCAATGGCTTGTACTGCATTTGATTTTGCAAATACCCATGCATTCTCTGATTTGGGTCTAAAACAGACATTTGTTTTAATAAATTATCATCTTTTCAATTATAAGTTATTAAAAATAATTTAATATACTGTAATACAGAACTGCTGCTGGTCAGATCTCCAGAACTCTCTGAAATAGGTCCCAGGGTTCAGGAATAAGTTGAAACTGGGGAGATACACTTCTCACCTCCCTTGTTTTGACTCAAGTATTTCTGTAACCAGTTTTACAGCCATAAGTGCCAGCCTATTTCATTTTTCTAAATAAACTCTCCAAATCATCATATACGAAGAAATAACAGCAGGGAAGGTAAAAGCTGTTACTTATTCTAAGGTTATCTCAACTCAAAATGTCTTCTGACTATTTAGAGGCAATTTCTACCTTTCAATTTGCACATGTAATCCATGTAGCCTAGAGATAGCTTTCTTCTAGGCTACAAATCAAGTGAGGCAGCTTGCCTTTCTTTACAGCTGTTCCAACTATTCCTCACAGTAAAGATATTCTGCTACTTCCCAACAGATAAAAGAAAGTGTACATGAAGACTTTTATAATCAGACAAGAATTTAATATTCCCCACATCTCCTCCCCTAAGATATGCCCCCAGTCAGCAAACTTTGTTAAAATCCATTTACTGCATGAACTTCATCTTTGAATAAAGAACCAAAATGAAGAAATGGGGAAGGACACCAAACATCTTTTTCCAGAAATACAATTTGCTAAAAACATCAAATTACATTCACAACCCAGTTTAACATTGTAATATTAAAGCATGGACAAAGAAACAAACAATCCAACAATGCTCTTGAAAAGTTGGTTGCTGATAACTTTGATTGCTCTGTTTTTATTTAATGGGAAAGCTGCTGCCACCTGAGTTCTTAGCTACCATTTTCCTACTGCCCTAGACAACAGTATGGCACTCAGGACAGTTCTGTGAAGGTAAATATGACAGCTTTGTCTCTCCCTCTCTCTGGTGACAACTAGCTGGTTTTGACAGCTATAGTGGCATATGCTATGCTAGATTTCATTGCTTTCATATGTTTAAATTCCACCTCCAGCCTGTAGAATATAAAATAAAATCAAATGAAAAATAAAATCAAATAAAATCAAATAAACATCGCTTTCTCCCCTTTCAGAACTCATATCTTACTATTTCTTAAGAGCTCCAATAGTCAATCCTTTCTTTTTCATACTAAACCCCCCCAGATTTACAGTATCTAATGCACATTCAGTTCAGAGTTAGAGCACCTTCCAGTTCTTAAGCTGTCACTGCTAAGCTTAGCTTTGAAGCAAACAGAACCCAAGCATAAAATCAAGTTCTTTTTTTTGTCCTCAGGTGCAGTATATTGTCTTGACTGCTGTAGCATATGGCTTTGAATTTTAAGCAGCTGAATATATCCTCCTAAAACATCCTCAGACCCAACATGTAGATGTAATAAATACTAGGAACGAAATAGAGCTATCTGGCACCTGTGTTGTGGAATAGGGGTCCTGACCACCTAAAGCTGCTGCAGCTCCTTATACAGGCTCACTTAACTTGATGCTACTGATTTCAAATCACTAGAGGTGTCTGTGGACAATTAATATTAGTAATTTTGAATGTATTATTTTTCAGGAAAACATTAATATCTGATTGAAAAAATATCAATAATCTTTAAAAATAAAAATAGGATATAGGAAGCTGTTCCATTACAGCTGTTCCATTCTGTAACCACTAGAGGTCAGCTCTGATAACAAACACAATGAAAATTTCATATTATCCTTTGACAGCAGAATTTATCAGTCTCTTTTGGCTTTTTTCTGTTAATAATTAACACTTAGATTATCTAATATCTTATAAACCAAAAATATTTTTAAATGCACAGAACTAAAGAATGCTTTTGTCTATAACACATTTAAATTTCTATGAAAATCGTACATCCTGTGCAACATTATAGCTATATTATGAGCTCCTATGAATAGGGATTTAAAATATGGAATGCAGAAAGCACATGAATTTCAATTGAAACATCCTGAATAAAGTGGCCAAGTAATCAATTAAAAGAAAAAAAAAAACCCACAGGAGCTCATTTTCCCACTGCACAGTGTTAGCTTATGCACCAGCAATATGCAACAGACCAAAATATAGCTTTGCTTTATGGATGAATGACAAATCAGATTAAGAGTATTATTCGGGGGGGAAAAAATCCAAAAGAACAAAATCCTGCTTATTTAGCAGCCTAAGAAGATAAATTCCTTCCATTCTAGTTGCAGAATTGAGGAAGAATTTCAGATCCCTGATTTGAACACTACCATCAGCTTGTAATGTCATACAATGCAAATTGGTACAGATATACTATTTTTACAGTAATTCATATATTGCTGCATGTGCTTTGAAAAACATTTTCATACCATGGGAATAGAGGGATCTCTCACAATGAAAGCACACAGTAAGAAATTTCATTGCTAAGTCTTTAGAACCAAGAGCCAACAGCTCTAGAGTTGTCAATAAATTACCCCCCCAGTTCACTCTGCAGGACATACAGACTTACGCAAAGCTCCTGGAAAAGAGTGCAGGTGACATGAAAGTCTCTAGACAGAATAAGCCTTCACAGTGAGAAAGACAAAACTCTGTCAGGACACAGTAGGTGTTAGTTACAGAAGAGCCATACAGTGAATAATCACATAAAATTACTCACAAGGCAAAGGGCATCTATGGAAACATCAAGTGTCAAGGTAAACATACACACATTCATATAAATATCTGTTTCTATGTAGGGAGACACATCCACATACTGAAAGAGCCTATCACAAGAATACAGAGTAACACTATACCTGTTGCACTTTTTCAATCCTGCTGCTACTGTTAAAGATGGAGTTTGTGTTTTTTTTGGTTGTGTGAGGGTTTTTTTGAGAAGGACCTTTGTTCTTAGCAGTTTGACCTACATTCTTGTTAGGGGAGGATTTTAACTGCTGCTTATACAAGAATCACAGTAGCTGCAAAAATCAATGCACGGCCAAACCAGCTAGCTCTCTGCTCTTCAGTCAATGTACAAAACCAGGATATGCCTGCATGAATGAAAGGGCTTTTTCCTGCTGGAGAAGGAGCATCAGTTAGATGAAAAATGAAAGGTAACAGCAGAAATATATTTGTGATACTAAGTGCACTTATTGACAGCTCTACTGTCTATCATGTATCGTAGAAGCTGTAAAACAAAGTAAAACCTGAGATGCAATGTAACTGTGATTATTGGAACAAAAGTAATAAAAGACTGAGCAAAAAGACAGTACAAGAGAGTTCCCAGACAGGAAAAAGTCTCAGCTGAAACTAAGACAACAGCAAGATGGACTGAAGGTAGTGAGGCCTAAAGATGAAGAAAGCCTAGAGGTTAAGAAGACTCTACTCGGTCTTCAGCATACATAAGTGAAAGTATAGCATAATAAACATGTCAGGAAATTTTAAAAAGTTTTCAAAATATTCATGTTTATCTACAGTAGAGTATTCCCCATTTTAACATCCATGCTATGCAAAAATCTTTTCTAAATGACAGAAATGATGCCAAATGTAATACAGCAGCAGAGTGCATGAAAGGCAAAACATCTTTATGGAGGGCAAGAGAAATATACATCCCTGATCTCAACCCAGCTTGCAGGTATGAAACATTGTCGGGGAAAAAAAAAAAGTTAAAAAAAGTTAATTTCTAGAGAGGAAGTGAAGTCCTATGTTTGACAGGAGAGCTACACATGGAAATGAGCATTAGATTTCCACTGTTTTGGACAGAAGATCAGGGACAAACCCCCAAGTTTAGGTGTAAACTGGCAGTAAACAATATAATTGAGGAACATCTCACAGATTAATTCAGGTTTCACTCAATGATTTAGACACTTAGGAAAGTAACTGTAAAATCTCAATTTAATTCTATTCTAAGGTTAAATACCTTTTTAGTTATTTTTAAACTTTAAAAGTTTAAAGATACTGAAAAGTTTATAGATACTGAACATAATTTCAAGTAATATAATGGAAAGAAAATGAGTACTTCTCACATCAGCCTGGGATTTTATATTAATCAAAGTGATCTTGTGAAAGAACACAGACAAGGAAAAGCTATTGTGTCAGCCCCATTTAGTTACAGAAGATTTAACTCTTCTTTCTTCCTTAATGAACTACTCAGCAGTTCTGTAAATATACGGTAGTTTAGTTTTATTTTTTAATTTCATTACACATTTAAGTTTACTATGCTTACTACTGGATTTTTTGCTATGATGGAAAGAATCAACTTTCTACTTTCAAGTTTTTTCCGAAACACTTGGTGTTTCATCCCTGTGATCATCTGCCAGTTAAGTAACCCTCACATCCTCTTTATGTGTAGCAGATGTTCTTGAAGTTTTTCCTTGAGATCTATGTATTATGTAGACACTGACAGCATGACATTCTTTGCAAAAGAATAAATTAAATTAAAATGATCCATCTTTGTAAGCTACATATTTCTTTTTAGAGCAATTAATGTTTCAGCTTGAAGCATAAAGTTATTAACATACTGTGGAATTACAGTTTAAGATAATTCTAACCTATTGGTTTTGATCACAGTATGCAAATACACAGCTATAAGCAGGTGGAAATAAAGGTCAGATCATCAAAATGTACTTTTATCCAACATCTTAAAATACTGAGAGTAAACTCTCAATAATCCAGAACTCTAGATTTTATCTGCAGGTTCATTATATTGTTCAGGCAACAATAATCTTATGGATGTACCTCAGTTTTCCACTTGTCATAAGAGGATATAACTTAAACTAATTAATCCCACATCATAAATACATTTTTTTCCCTATATGTCCCTGGACAACCTGCTCCACTCCTAAAACTACTATTACTACTACCACTACCACTGCTACTACTACTACTACTAATTTTAGAAAGGAAAAAAAAAGCAACACTTCATGAACTTTTATTTCCTGTTTTTCAGCCTAAAGTTTCAAGCACATTGAATCATTAAAAATAGTGATCAAGTTGTTGCTTCACTGATAGTCTAACACATTGCAGAAAGTTTCAGATTATTGCAGATAATATTCTTTGTTGTCTAAATAATAGATTTAATATTCAACTAGAGCATGGATTGCATGTAAGCAAAAAATGTTTTTATCATCTCTAAATAATAATCTTGTCCCTCTCAAATGGGAACAGTCTTCACTTTGAAAAACCTGAAGAAAAATGAAAACTGATTACTGCTCAGAGAAGAATTATCAAAGTGGAAAGATATCCAAATGGAATTCCACTGGAACCCAATCTAAGTCCAGTATTTTTGAATGCATTCAGAAGTAACTTGAATGATGGAACAAAAAGCAAAAAGTGTCCTTAATGGAAAGCACAAAATGTGCAGTTAACACAAGCATGCTAGAGAACAGGATGAAAAGAAGAAAAACCGTAAGTACATTGGGAAAGGGAGAAATCATCTCATAAAGCAGCATTCAATTCTGTAATAATAATAGGGAAATAAAGGCTTAACAAGAACATAGCAGGAGAAACAAGCAAAAAAAAATAAATCTCAAACTTCATGAGAACAGAATAGTAGAAGGGAAAATTTTCCAGCTCACAGTTCTGCAGAGAAGGGCCTGGTGCTTCTACTAGACCACGAACTCAAGACATGTCCACGGTGTCATGCTACTTTTTGAAGAGGCAAACATCAAACCAAGTTACATAAACAGAAGCATGGCAATCCCCAAAGGATACAGTTGAAAGGAACCTTAAGACACTTTGCATTTACAGCCTTTCAATCAATCTTTCTTCTCTGCTCCTCAGATGGAACACCACAGGCAGGTGGGGCACCACGATCTCACTTTAATTTGCAGAAAACTTAAAGGCAGCCATTGAGCATGATCAGAAGCACAGGAAATAACAAGAGAAACGCTAAATGAATTGTGTTTGTGTAGTCTATAGAAAGATCCCCACAGTGGGACAAGTTAAGCTCTTTACAGGTGTTTTTCAGGCATTTGAAAAAGAATATGGACAGTTTGGTGTCCATACCCACTGTGGTTAGGCAAAAAAAAAACCCAACATGAAATGGACTAAGACATACAATGCACATTTAGGGAGAAGGCTAGTTAAGAACTGGAGTGAGAAACCATGGAATTGCCAAAAACAGACTAGACAATCACCTGTCATTAATGGCAGGCACATAATCAGTTCTGCCATATAACAATTATAGGGATTAAATACTCTTGGCTAAATCAAGCCTTTCTCTATGGTTGTACAAATTCCTTTCCTATATGATGGACACAAGGACTGTGTTTTCATAATCATGATTTTTAAAAATCTCTTTGGAAACTCCAACTTCTATTGTATTTTAATAAGGATTCACAATAAATGCCTTATTTCACTTGTTTCACTTGTACCATGATGGGACCCATATTAAAATTTGTGTTCTTTATTCTCCTTGCAAATAAAAAAAAGAGATAGCATGCCATCATGCCATTAATGAAATATTATATGCGAGTTTTAATAATTTATGCCTATATCTAACTAAAATATAACAGTAAAAACAGTAAAAGTAGGTATTGACAGAATGTTTCTGAGCCAAAAAATCTCACCAACATTTTATCAGCATGCAAAATGCATTTTTGAAAACAAGAAGAGTAAAGGCAAAAATGGAAGTCTCTAAAGAACTAACAGGTAAAACTTCAAGAATCACTCAAGCCCTAACATTACTTATTGCAAGAAAATATATAAGCATGCATTCCATATTTTTCAGTGCATCACAACTGTTGAGAAGAAACGTTACCATAGTAACGAGGTCATCAGTAACTATTATATATAGCTTCTTCCTTTTATGACAGGGGATTTTGACATTAACCTTTCAAATAGCCCTTCAACACACAGTGTGAAAAACATGCTGCTTCAGAAAGATGGTGGGGAAGGAAGTCCCACACCATTCTGAATGCATCTTTTTGTGGATGATAGACAACAACTTCTGGCACAAATTTAGAAACTGCTATTCTAGGAATCATCCTAGCATTAAACCTGAATACCCTGCAATTAACCCACGTATCACAGCAGTAAGAGAAATGAACAATTATGCATAACCCTGCTAAAACAAAGCTGGTGGAAGAATCCACTTCTTACAGAAACATAAGAAATACAATATAAACCTGTTCCAATAAATGAAAAAGCACATTTAGAAATAGAGTGTGTCATCTTTATTGATGTATCTTCACATTTAAAGGATGAAGAAAAAGGTGACCCTTCCAGGCCATTAAGGAGAAAGAATAGGTTCATAACACTTTCTTGCAATGTATTTATGAAAGCATTTTCACAACACATACTTAAGTGTACTGCATTTTCTAGAACACTCCAATGTCCAAGGTTAAATCTACTTTCAGAGTAAGAGTGATGGAAATGTTTTGCATGCTGATATTGTTGTTTTCTCAAATGGCAGAATAAAATTCTTATGATTGTGTTCTCTTTAAAAAAAAGTCATTATTTGTATTTAATTTTCATAATTAAATTATTATTATATTAACAGAAAAAAGATATATTCCTAAGATACCAGCCATTTTAAGACTGTAAATCTAGGCCATCTCACAATAATAAACAAAAAAACCCAAAACATTCTCAAGTGACAGATAAGCTCACACGCCCATTCAGGACCCATGTTAGTCATATCAGCCACAATTTCCAATTAATCTGTAGGGTTTTCGAGACTTTTTCTAAATTTGCTTACATACAATAGAAGAATAATAAAAAAAAAGAGCTAAATTATATTTAGCTCTTAATTTTATATTACTGTTTATACAGATTT